ATCATTTCTATCACCAAGGCCATATTTTCCAACTACTTATCCTTCCTCTTTGTTCCCAACCTTAGCATTCCAATCACCGGTAATGATCAATACATTTTGATTGCAACATTTGATCAATTTCAGATTGAAGAAGTTGGTAGAATTCTTCTATTTCATCTTCACTGGCTTTAGTGGTTGGTGTGTAAATTTGAATAATAGTGACATTAACTGGGCTTCCCTGTAGGCACATGGATATTATCCTATCACAGACAGCGTTGTACCTCATGACTGATCTGGATACGTTCTTATTGACAACGAATGCAACACCATTCCTCTTCAGTTTGTCATTCCTGGCACAGTAAACCATTTGATTGTCAGATTCAAAACGGCCAGGCGGCCAATGCCAGTCCAATTCAGCTCATTAATGCCTAAGATATCAATGTTTATGCGTTCCATTTCATTTTTGACAATTTCCAATTTTCCTAGATTCATACTTCATACATTCCATGTTCTGATAATTAATGGATGTTTACAGCTGTTTCTCTTCATTTTGATTTGTGGCCCATCAGCAAATGAAGATCCCGCAGGCTTTTCTACCACGGGCTTTACTCCATTCGTGTCATCACGGTCAACTCTACTTTGAGGAGGCAGCTCTTCCCCAGTCGCATTTTGGTGCCTTCCAATCTGAGGGGCTCATATCCCGACACTATATCTGACAGTGTTTCTCTGCTATTATAAAGTTTTCAGTGACTAAATATTCAGAAGTAGTTCGTCACTCCTTCTTCCTAGTCTGTCTTATCTGGAAGCTCATGTGAAACCTGCTCAGTATGGGTGACCCTGCTGGTATTTAAAACACCCGTGGCATAGCTTCCAGAATCACAGCAACTCACAAGCCACCACAGTACGACAAACTGACAGACGAGTGGTGGAACTCGTACACTTAAAGATGGTTAAAACGCAGCAGGTTTTATGACTCTGAGACCAGAACTAGATGATGCCCAGCTACCAACTACCAACTGCTCTGAAAGGGATCACATTAGATGGTCCTGGATAGAGTGGGAGAGAATGTGGAAGAAAACTCAAAATTATAAAATAAGGCCAGGCTTACTGGTCAGAAAGAAACTGGAGGAACCAGAGACTATGACCCTCGGTCACCCTTCAGGTCTGGAACGTAATTCATTCTTGTGGCCCAATTTTCAACCAAGCGGTGCATAGGTATATATGGGGGTGGGGGAAACACTAATGAGCTATGCTCACCATGTAACAGTCAACCATTCAAGATCAAAAGGGCAACAGTTACTTGGAGACAAGGTTCAGAAGGGTTGAGAAGGAGGGTGGAATGAAAATAGGAACCACAGAGAGGAAATGGGATTACTGCTGTTACATGGCAGGGATTGCAATCATTGACATAAAGCAAAGTGTGTGATTTGTTGGCTGTGAAGCTGATGATCTGCTCTGTAAACTTTCATTCAATTCACAATAAAAAGTTTTTAACAAATGTTAACAACAACAACAAAAATGTCCTGAACATTTGAGGGGAATGAGAATAAGAATACTTTTTAGACATGTTAGCTTTGAGATGTCCATGAGCCAAAATCAAGAGAAGTGCTGAGTCTGGAGTTTAGTGGCGAGGACAGGGCAGATATTTATAGGCAGGGGACTTGATGATTCATTTAAGAATGGAACACATAAACTCAAATTCCTCACCATCGTCATCGACATCGTCATCAAGAACAACTGTGGTAAACACTTTGCACCTATCCCTCACCTAATCCTCATAGTTCTGTGAGGGGGGTGCTCTTATTATTTATATTTATAGAGGAGAACATTGGGACTTAGAAAAGTCCAATGACCTGCCCAAGGGCACACCATTAAGTGACCACTGAAGTTCAAACCCAGATGGCCGACTCCAGGGCCTGTACTCAAATCCCTGCCTGGTGTTTTCACGGGGCCATTCAGGGCAGAGAAAATGGATGAGGCTAGGGCCTCGGACCCAGAAGCCAGGGCAGACCCCTACCGGAGCACAGTGGCCTGGCCCAGAGTGCCCACGGTGATGTCAGCAAGGCCGTCACCACTGATATCGAAGCCACCAGCCAGGGACATGCCGAAGTAGTGGAGTCCTGCAGTCATCTCCGAGGCGCTGATCCTCTGGGAAAGAAGAAACAGCAGGGGTGGCACGTAGGGGAAAGCGAGGTTCTCCTGACTTCATTCAACTCACTACCAACAGCCAAGATCCCAGGTGAGTCCTTCAAACTAGAAGGCTGGGAAGGGCATTTGAAAGGAGCCTTAAAGGACAGGGGTTGGGGTGGGACAGAGAAGGAAAGAGAAGGAGCAGGATGCTCTGGGAGCAGGAGGAAGTCGTGTGCAAGGAGGGCTGGCCTTGACACTGTAGTGGGGTGGAGAGTATTATCCCCGGCTTGTTTAGAAGGGCAGGACCAGAATTACAGTGAATGAAGTAGAGGGTGGAGGCTGGGGAGGTGGTGGGAGGCCAGGGGAGGGCAGTGGAGGAGGTCGGGGTGGAGGGGAGACAGGAAAGTAGAATCGTTGGCACCTGGGGGTGACAGGCAGTGCAGGGTGCGAAAAAGGTCACAGTGTCTTCATTTAGGTTTGTGGTCTAGGTGGTAGAGGGGGAGGGACCCCAAAGGAACAGGGGGTCTGGTGGAGGAGGGGGCAGAGGGTGCTCTTGGTTGGGTGAGAGTAAGATGCCTGAGGTCATCCCAGTGGAGGTGCTCTGGAGAGAAACTGTACTTGCAGGTGGATGAAAGTGCCCATAAAAGATGTTGCAGGACAGACTACCAGTGGAGTCCTGGGGACTGAGTTAAATCACAGAGGAGTTGGGGATGGGAGCCAGCGAAGAGGCAAAAAGATCGGAAGGAGAGACCTGACGCAGGTCCAAGAATACTGAAGAAGAAAGGAGGTACTGGTGAACAACACAAACCACCCTCTTCTTTGAGCACCCCCACCCAAGCCCTGTCAGCTCTTAGCTCTGGGGCTGGCCTAATCTGGGGAGATCAAAGTTCAAAAATAGAAGCAGGAGGGAGTTCAGCCCCATGGATCACCTGTGAGTAGCTGGAGGAGAGGTCTTGCTGGCGTCCATTGTAGATGTATACGCTGCCGAAACTGTTATCACTGTCAGCCCTAAAATCCTCCAGGGGGGCCCCAATGGCCACATCTGTGAGCTTATCCTGACTGATGTCCCCTATAGCTGCCATGGCAAAGCCAAACCGGGCATCTTTGAAACGGGGGAGCCCGCTCAGTGTGCGTACAAAGGAGAAGGAGCCATTCTGTAAAACAAGCAGCCAGCTCAGCCCTCAGGAAAAGGGCCCAGCCCACCCACATCATGACCACCTGGGAGGCACACACTGGACTTGTAGGCTCTGACTGTACAGCAGAGGCTCTAAGGTCAGGTCACATAGCGAACCAGTGGGAAAATTGGGGTCAACCTGCCTTCGTTCAGGACCCAGAGCCCCTTCTGCTCCCTGGGTGAGGGGCACTGACTTGGCATTTAGGAGGCCTTGGTTCCAATCTTGGCTCCATCCACATTTGTTACACAAACTTAAGCAAGTCTCCACATCAGTGGGTCTCAACTTTGTCATCTGTAAAATGGGGTGACTTGCTGTCTCCCATAGTTATTGTGAGAAATGAGTGTGATCGTGGACAAACATGATTGTCAACGGGGAACTACATGGGGTGCTGTCTTCACAGACTGACTTGGGTGAAGAGGAAGGGGAGAGGGGAGGAGAGGAACAGTGGTCCCAGGTTCCAGGACACCACCCTGAACCACCTCCCATACCCATCGGCACTCTGGTGCCACGGTGTGGCCATGGCACACCCAGCTTCCATCAGCTCTGTGCCAGACTAGGGACCTGCAGCCTCAGCAAAGTGCATGACGTGGGAGACGCTCCCACCTGCTTATCCAAGCGGTAGACGTAAACTCTGCCTTCTTCTCCGTGAATGTGATAAAACGGAGCTGCCACCAGCAACAAGTCTGTGGTTCCATCCATGTTGATGTCCACAGGGCACAGCTCGGAGCCAAAATAGGATCCCATCTACAGCCCAGGAGGAGCTCAGCTCACCAGGAGGGCTGGGGAAGGCGTCTCCCCTCCCCTGAATCAGGCTAGACCTCTCTACTCCTGCTCTTCCTGGGCACTCAGATTTGGGTCCTTCCTTCCAGGTCCATTTATCCACCCCCCACCACTGCTCCCCATCCCCACCCAAGGAAACAAGGAGTGTGGGTGAGCAGCCCTGCCCCCAATGAAAGGAAACCAGATGTTTCCAGCTTATAGCAACCCCCATGTGTGTCCAAATAGAAGGGCTCCACAGGGTTCTCAGGGGTCGGAACCGACTCGACTGCACTTAACAACAACAACAGGGTTCTCAGGGCTGATTTCTCAGAAGATCACCAGGCCTTTCCACCAAGGCACCTCTGGGTGGACTGAAACCTCAACCTTTTTGATTGGCAGCAGAGCACACTGGGTGTCTGCAGCACCCAGGAACCCCACAGTGAGGAAATGTGGGCACCTAGGGTTAAGTACAGCAAGGTAGGGATAGGTTTAGGGTTGTTGTTGTTAAGTGCCATCGAGTCGATTCCGACCCATAGCGACCCTGTATAGGGTTTCCGAGGAGCAGCTGGTGAGCTTGAACCACCGACCTTGCAGTTCAAACAACTTTGCAGTCTGACACATTAGCCCACAGTGCCACACCAGGACTCCAGGTTTAGGGTAAGAAGTAGGAATAATTTTAGGTAAAGTTCTAGGATTAACGTTCAGGGTTTAGAGTTTAGAGTCAGGGATAGATTTAAGGTTAGGTTTAAACCTGGGGATCTGCCATGCAGAGCCCAAGCACGGCCACTGAGAACTCCTGAGTTCTGCCCAAGCTGACTCCTGACCACAGTGTGGCCTGGTACCCACATAGCTCTGGGGCCTCAGCATCCCCCATTTATAATGAGGGGAGTCTCCCCCAGCAGGTACCTGCTCTCCCTCCAGTACCGAAAGGAAGGTGGTTCCTGTTTCCACCTTCTGGAGCTCAAACACTGTCCCACGATGTTTGTGCTGTGGAGCCCCGGCCACATAGGAGAGGCCATGGGTCTTGTGCAGCACGGCCACTGAGTAACCTGTGGGGGACCAGGGTGAGCTCCCATCTGATCACGCCCCTTGCCTTCCCAGATGGGACTCTGACGGGATGAGACCATCTTTCTCACCCTTGATGTCAGCCCCCACTCATGTAGTGTCACAAGTCACATGTGAGGCACTGTCACACATGCACACATGCACCCCCCCACACAATATATGAGGACGAAGTAAGGGGACATCCATTCTCTCCCCTGGGCAGCAGCCCACCCATGCCTGCACCCAGGAGGCCATAACCCTCAGCCTTGGGGGTCCCTCACCAGATCCCATCCTGGCACATGGCCTGCCAAGGGCTGCCCCCATGAAGAGGCCTAGCGGTCAGCTTCAGGGTCCTTGTCTAGAACCCAGCCTCACCTAGGTAGCTGTACTGAGCAGTCTTGGCATCCGCTGCACTCTGGTTCAGGAAGCGTCCCTCACCGCTACTCATGTTGTAGACCAGCACACCGCCTGACCAGTTAAAGGCCCCAACGGCACCAAGCAGCACCTGCTCCTACAGGAGACAAGGGGCAGAACCGAAGGTCTTCTGAGAGGAAGGGACAAGGGCCTGAGGTTCGGCAGGCCAGTGCTGTGTACCCTGCAGGTCCTGTGCCCCACTTGGCCAGAGATGCAGACGACACAGTGGGACAGCAAACTGTTCTCCTGCCCCTCTAGTATTAGCACCCCACCCCCAGCACAAAGTTAGTCAGGGGCCCAGAGGTTGAGCATTCAGTAGATAGATAGGGAGGTGGGTGGGTGGGTCGATGGATGGATGGATGGATAGATGGGCAGACTGGCAGGCAGACATAGATAAATGTATGAGCAAGATGGTTATGCCAGTCTCCTTGGGACTTGACACACACGTCAGTGTGTGGTGTCAAGGTGCCAGCTCTCTTCCACATGCACAAACTGTGAGTCCTCCCTACAGCTGTCCCTCCACATCTGGGGGAACAGTCATCCAGTCAGGAGAAGTCAGAAAGTTAACTGCCAAGCCCCCTCAGGTCATATCCTGCTTTTCTAACCTGAACTGAGGGAAACTGTTCAGTCCACGAGCACACAGAAGAAATCCACTGTCTGTGATAAAGATGGCCATTCTTCTATCTCAAAGGCCTAGACATGGGGGAGCTAGGGGCTTCCTTTGACCTACAATGGTTCCTTTAGAGGCATCCCTCGGGGCAGGGTGGAACTCTGCAATGTCAGCCAGGAGTCTCTCGGAAGACCTGGATGTCACTGGGCTCCCCATCTCTCAACCCTCCTCTAAGGGCAAGCTGCCTCCTGCAGCGGTCACATACCTTGTTCAGGATCTGGGCACTGAAGCCAACCTGTGCCAGCTGACAGTGAAGGTCTTCTCCACGTGCACCTGGAAGCACAGAGCAGCCAAGGTGAAGGGAGAAACTAAGCTCAGGAAGGGGCCAGCCTGACCTCCTGGCTTCCAGGAGGAACAGTGGTAGGTGTCATGGGAAGGGTTCCATCTGTTTTAGGAACTTGAGCAGTTCGCTGCCTCTGGGAGGCTGTATTCTTCATTGTTTTGTCTCCAGTACCGGTTCCATTCATTAGAGCCTCCTGGAGACTCTGGGAAGTGAACAGGGCCGGGGGTATTGTTACCTTTTTAGAGATGGAGAAACTGAGGCTCAGAGAAGTGGGCCACATGGAGGGAGGGTGGAAGTGGGACTGAAGAGCGGGGTTTGGGCTTCCTACTGAATTGGAGGGGACTGTCACAGGGCACCCGGATCACTCACCCTCCATGTGGATGATACTTTGCTGCAGTTTGCTCAGCAGCCCGCTCAGCGCTGAGTAGTTGGTCACCTTGAAAGCGTGCTTCTCATCGGGATCCGAGGCGATCAGTTTCAGTTCCTTGTCAGACTTTTCGTTCTCAAACGCTTCCCCTACCTGCACAGAGGTGCCCAGCAGTGTCAGCACCCTGAGGACTGGCTGGCTCCCTCTAGCTCCAAGAACTCTCCAGATCTGGCTTCTAGGGGCCCCCACCACCTGTCTCCTTCCATCCCTGCTCCCTGTTCTCTGCACTCTGGGCTCCAGTTTTACCAACCACACATGCTTTCCTCCCCACACCAGGCTCCTGTTTTATCTCTGCACAAGCTCTTCCCTCTGTCTGCAAAGCCCTTCCCAGCCACAGTTGCCTTAATCCTGTCTGTCCTCCAAGACTAAGCTCAGCACCATCTTCTTCAGGAACCTTCTCTGGTGTCCACTGCCCTCTCCATCCCTACTTGGCTAGTGAGCTGTCAGCACCACTGGGATATGACCTCTCAGTGGGAAGATCCAGAGGGGCCAAGGCATGGAGTTCAAGAGAGCAGCAGTTGGTGAGTGTGAGAAGAACAAGGCTTACAGAGGATGGAAGGCCAGAAGCCCCTACTAGGAGCCCTGGCGCCTCACCATCTGGGGCTATGCCCAGCTCCTGGCTCTTACCCCAATGGCAAAGCGTTCAACACCCTGCATCTCTGGGGAGTTGATGACAGTTGTGAGGTTGAGGGGGTCCATGAATATGTCCCCATCGGTGAGCACCACCATGATCTTGGTTGCTTTCTCTCTGGACCCACGGCTTGGCGTGAAGATGGTATCCCTAGGTAGGCGAGAGTAAATAAGAGGAGACTTTCCCAGAGGGACTCTAGAGAGATTTCATTCACTGGACTGGTTGCAGGATCAGAGAGGATTAAACTCCATGCAACAAATGGGGAAAAAGGTCCAAAGAGTTGTGGTGACATTCCTTGGATCACACAGTGAGGCTGGGTGGAAGTGCGGCAGCAAGACAAGTGTTTCAGTTCCTCACCTGCTTCTAACTGAAAGGTGTGAGATGGCACTAAGTCTACTCCTGTTATGTGCAAGAAGAACAAAGGTAGCAAGGAATAGCAGTGCTATTAACCTTCACGGCCCAGTGGTGCACAGTGAGAGAAAGACGAGGCTGTCCATCCCTATAAAGATGTATGGTCTCGGAAACCCTAAGGAGCAGTTCTCCTCTGTCCTAGAAGGCCTTCACAAAACCCAAGAAGCACGTATTGCTAGTCTCATTTTAAAATGAGGAATTCGAAGCATAGAGAGGTTAGACCACTTGAGCATGTTTACACACAAGAACAAACTGGGACTGGGCCTTGAACCATAGCAGCCTGAACACTGAGCCCAGTGTCGTTAGCACTGTGCTAACATGTGCGTCTCATGAGAGGAAGTCATTGGAAGAATTTGGGGAGGATAGGCCTAGAGGTGTCATCCATCAGCTAAGGCCAAACTGAAAGCCTTTACTGCCCCTCTCAGCCAGGGAAGAGCTAGAACCGTGGTCCACTCCTTTTTTATTTTTTTAAATTGTGGTCAAAATATATATGGCTCAACATTTGTCAGTTCAACATTTTTCATGTACAATTCAGTGACATTGATTACATTCATCATGATGGGCTTCTTAAACAATGACTTCCCCTTTCTCCTCCTCCCCTCTTCCCTAGTAACTACTAAGAGACTCTGATCTCTATACATTTGCTTATTCTAACTGTTTCATAGAAATGGGCCTGAACCCCCCCTCACCCCACCCCTGTCTCTTCATGGCTCCACCTTCTCCAGGTCTGATGACACGAACCCTCTGAGTAGGACCACCAGCCGCCACCCAGCAGGTCATTCCCACTGCCCTCACTCACAGGACATGCTGCATGGCTGAGGCCGTCTTAGTAACACTCTTCACTTGACTGATGTTCTTGACTTTGGCGAGGGTGGCCATCTCGTCCTGGCTGTCCAGAAGATCAAACTCAGTCTGGATTACTCCTCCGTACTGCACCAGGGCAAAGCTGCACTGGAGGGGAGAGGCAAAGCTGGTGAGCAGATTGACAAAGCTGCCATGCCCTCACTACCCTTGGCCCTTGGATGGCTTCTCCTGGAAGCAAGGGAGTAACCCTCTGACTCACATGATCTACAGGCAGGAGGAGCTGCTAAGCCAGAGAAGAATTGTTAAGCAACTAAATGCTGTTGAGTCTGTTCTGACTCATAGCAAACCTATATTGGGTTTCTGAGGAGCAGCTGGTAGATTTGAACCACCGACCTTGTGGTTAGCACTCCATTGCTTATGCTACAATGCCACAACAGAACTCCTCTAAGCAACTGGTGATAGTGGTTAAGTGCCATGGAGTCAGTTCTGACTCATAGCAACCCTGTATAGGGTTTCCGAGAAGTGGCTGGTGGGTTTGAACAGCAGGCCTTGTGGTTAGCAGCCAAGTGCTTATCCTACATCACCACACCTGGATTCCTTCTAAGCAACAGGAGATGGCTCCCCAATGAATCACATATTCCTGTATTGTTGTTGTTTTCAGGTGCTATAGAGTTGGTACCAACTCATAGTGACCTTATGCACAACAGAATGAAACACTGCCTGGTCCTCAGCCAACCTCATAATTGTTGCTACGCCTAAACCTATCGTTGCCACCACTGTATCAATCCATCTCATTAGGGGTCTTGCTCTTTTTCTCCAACCTCCACTTTACCAAACATGAAAGAAATCCTTCTCCAGTGACTGGTCCCTCCTGATAATATGTCTAAAGTATGAGAGACAAAGTCTGGTCATCCTGGATTCCAAGGAACATTCTAGCTGTACTTCTTCCAACAGATCTGTTTGCTCTTTTGGTAGTCCATGCTACTTTCAATATTCTCCTCCAAAACCATAGCTCAAATGAATCAATTCTTCTATGGTCTTCCTAATTCACTGTCCAACTTTCACATGCACATGAGGTTACTGAAAATACCACAGCTTGGGTCAGGCACACCTTAGTCCTCAAGCTGACATCTTTGCTCTTCAACACTTGAAAAAGGTCTTGTGCAGCAGATTTGCTTAATGCAATGCATTGTTTGATTTCTTGACTGCTGCTTCCATGAGTGTTGATGGTGAATCCAAGCAAAATGAAGTCTTTGACAACTTCAATCTTTTCTCCATTTATATGGATGTTGTTTACTGATCCAGTGGTGAGGATTTTTGTTTTGTTTTCAATGAGATACAACCCATACCGAAGGCTGTGGTCTTTGATCTTCATCAGTAAGTATATTAAATCCTCTTCACTTTCAGCAAGCAAGGTTGTATCATCTGCATATTGCAAGTTGTTAATGATGCCACATTTTTCTTCATATAATCCAGCTTCTCAGATTGTTTTTTTGCTCAGCATACAGATTCAATAAGTATGGTGAAAGAATACAATCCTGGTGTACATCTTTCCTAATTTTAAACCATTCCTGGACAATCCCTTTCATATTGATTATGGAACTAACCAATAACTTGCTTTGGCCAATGGGCCATCAGAAAATGTGATGGGATTTGGGAAATGAAAAGTGTGTGTGTACTGGAGTTTCTCTTCTTAAAATGTTGTTGCCATGAAAAACCTGCTGGAGACACTTGGCCCAGATAACATTCAGCACAAATTCTCAGACAAGCAAGCGAGATGATGTTATACCATCCAGCCCCCATCAAGCAACCAGATGCCTGCAGCTGCAGGAGTAACCTCAGACAAGACCAGCAGAAGAACCACCCAGCTGAACCCAGCCCAAAGAGCTGACTACAGACTTGTGAGCAAATAAAATGGTTGTTGTTTGGAAGTAGTCTGTTACATAGCAACAGTTAATGGATAGAATACACATAAAGCCCAGCTCTCAAGATACCCACCTCAAAGCACCTCTCATAGATGTCCTTCATCATGTTGGAGATAAAGTCTTTGGCTTTCTCAAAGTCTGGGATGTTAATGCTTCCTGAGCCATCCAAAATGAAGGCAATCTCAGTGCCTGGGTCAAGACAGGGAGTAGATCAGGAATGGGCATGGGATTTGGGGCAGGAATGAGAAATTTTTAAACTCCTAGCCCTGGTGGTGCAATAGGTTAAGCGTTTGCCAGCTAACTGAAAAGGATGCCAGTTTGAACACAACAACTCTTCAAGAGAAAGACCTGGCTGTCTGCTTCATAAAGAAAATCCTATGGACCAGTTCTACTTTGTCACAAGGGATTGCTATGAGTTGACTCCATAGCACCAAACAACAGAGTTTAGGTTCAGGGAGGAAGTTAGTGAAGCTCCCACGAGAGCTTCACATTTTTTATGTCAACAGCAAAGAGAAAACTACAACTTGTACCCCCCACACCCACTTGCTGTGTGAACCACTCCTACCACTTTGTTTCCCATCTGTAATGGGGGTGGGGCTGGGACTGGCCAGCCCTGTAGAGTCCAGCCCAGAGTTAGCCCTGACAGCTTCTGGGAACAGCCAGCTCTGCCTCTCCTTACCGGCTTCCTCCTCCTCCTCCTCCTCCTCCTCGTCCACCTCCTTCAGTGCCCTGCGCCCCCTGGCTGAGTGCTCATTCCCCTCTGTGTTGCTTTTTCTATTCCAGTAGCAGTCTCCAGCATCCACAGGTGCATCTGGAAGGAGATTTTATCTTAAAAAATCACATACATATGGCAGAGATCAGAGCCCATGTGCACCTCCAAGCAAGCCCACATTTTGCCCAATTTCTTTTATTAAGGACCTGGGACCTGCCTTTCTCTCTAAGTTCTGTGTCTCCTTAGCTTACCTGCAGTAAGCTGGTACCTTCCTTTGGGTACCCAAGGAGTTTTCTTTAGAGCTATCAAAGGTCAGTGAGTGTAGAGAGGGAGAGGGGCTGTGTGCTGATGACTGAGGGGGGGGGGGGTAGGATATACCCTTTGGTTGGTTGATGATGCATGGAGGGGATTGTAACCATGGCAACGAAGCGACATATGATAGGATGAATGTAAAAGTAATGTTCTCTCATGTAAATGATCACATAATTCACAATAAAACATTAGAAAAAAAAAAAAAAGGCCAGTGAGTGTTTAATCCTCACTAAAATTGGAGAAGTAGGTCTGGGTCTGGAATTGGAGGCTGGAGTCCAATAGGTTGCAGTTCCCTGTGAGTTCTGGACTGAGGCTGTGGGGTTTCCGGGTTGTCACTTGAATGCAAACCTGGAGGAGGGAAGACAAGACAGGGGAAATGTTAGGTCCCCTCTAGGCCAGCTTCCTACAGAAGCCACACCATCACCCCCATCCCAGTACTCAGTACCAGGCAGGGGGCTCAGGAACAGCCTGCTCACCCTTCAACAGGGTAGGAGTCAGTACTGGGGTCAAAGCTGAGGTAAGCACCTGAGTCAGTGCTGGGTCACACAGAGGACAGCTCTGGAATTGGTAGCAGGAAGCTAGCTGGGCTCAGTTCTGAGAATAAAATACCAGTCCAGACTAGTGTGAACACCAGGGTCAACAGGGATCAGCACTAGGGGTCATTCCTGGGGTGAGCACCAACTTCCCAGAGGCCCTCCATCTTCCCACCACAGGCAGCATACTCACCAAAACACCATGCTGGTTCCGGACAACTGTCACTCCCTGATGTTTCTTCTTTGGGATGTGAGCATGCTCTGAAATAGTTAAACCCAGATATGGAGTTGAGGGACATTGGGAGGCAACCCTGAAACCTACAGGGCATGGGGCCACCTTGGTCAGCATTCCATGAGGAAGTATCAGGACATTGTGTTATTTCAGCGCCAATGCCATCCGATCACTTGGCTGGCTGTGTATGGAAATCAAGTTCTGTTTAACTCTGCCTCTCACACAGATATGGGTCTACTTTGCAGAGCCAAATAGTTGTCAGTAAATGTTTGACTTGAGTTGGATTGGGTGGGATGACTAGGGTTTGATTAATGAATGATTTAAATTATCTGGTCATTCATTCAAATAACCTTTATTATTGGGCCCTGGTGTACTACTATAGGATAAGCACTGGACTGCTAACCACAAGGTCATCAGTTCAAACCACAAGCTGCTCTCAAAGACCCTATACAGGTCAATATGAGTTGGAACTGACTTGATAACACACAACCACAACATATGCCAAAGGTGCCCTGGTGACACAGTGAGTTAAGCATTGGCTTGCTAATCGAAAGGTCAACCATTCAAGCCTACCAGCTGCACCACAGGAGAAAGATGAGGTAGTGTGCTTCCACAGGAAAACCTCAGAAACCCTATGGATCAGTTCTACTCTGCCCTGGGTTGCTCTCAGTGGGAATCAACTCAACAGCAGTGGGTAATATTAGTATATGCTAGGTCACTTGCTAGACATTAGAATGGCCATAGTTGGATTGGGTGGCGTAACAATGGATTCCACTAAGGGATAAAAAGTTGCGTTGAGATAGGTTGAGTTAGTATTGATAACGAGTATTAAAGGCATTTGACAGAACTGTTGTTTTGATTTGTATCTCTATACTTTGAATCACAAGGGCGGCCCATCAAGCTCACCAGCTGCTCTTTGGAAACCCTATACAGGGTTGCTATGAGTAGGAGCTGATTCAACAACAACAACTTAACAACTCTTCTTCATATGTTTTTTGGCTGTCTGAATGTCTTCTTTGATGAAGTGTCTGCTCATGTCCTCTGGCCATTTATTTATCGGATTATTTGTTGTCTTCTTGTTGATGTGTTGAAATGTTGCATAAATTTTATAAAGAGTAGCCCTTTGTTTGATACGTCATTGCCAAACATTTTTTTCCCAGTTTGTGGGTTCTCCTTTTACTCTTTTTGATATACTTAGTATATACTTTTTAGGAAGTCCCAGTTAATCTATTTTGTCTTCTGCTTGTGTGTTTTCAGTTTCGTTTGCTAGTATATTTATGCCATATATCAGAGCCCTTAGGCTTGTCCCAAGGAACTCTGGTAGCATAGTAGTTACGAGTCAGGCTGCTAACCTCAAGGTCAGCAGTCTGAAACTACCAGCTGATCTGCAGGAGAAAGATGAAGTTTTCTGCTCCCTTAAAGATTTACAGCCTCAGAAGCACTATACAGGGTCACTATGAGTTGGAATTGACTCCATGGCACACAACCACTACCAAGACTGTCCCAATTTTTTCATTGATGATCGTTATAGTTCTAGGTTTACCATTAGGACTTTACTCCACATTGAATTCATTTTTGTATATGGTGTGAGATATAGGTCTTGTTTCAGTCTTCTGCAAATGGATTTCCAGTTTGCCAACACCATTAATTGTAGCAACTATCTCTTCCCCATTAAATGTATTTTGGCCCTTTGTCAAAGATCAACTGACTGTAGGTGGATGGATTTATTTCTGGGTTCTCAATTACTTTCCACTCGCTCATCTATGTGTCTTTTGTTGTACCAGTACCAGGCTGTTTTGACTACTGTGGCCATGTAGTAGATCTTGAGATGGGGAAGTGAGTGGTCTCCTACTTTGTTCTTCTTTCTTAGTAATGCTTTGTTTATCTGGTGTCTCTTTCCTTTCCATATAAAGGTAGAGATTAGTTTTTCCATCTCTTTTAAAGAATGAAGTCAGACTCTGGATTGGGATTGCGTTACATATCAACAGATTGCTTTGCATAGTGTTGACATTTTCACAATGTTAAGCCTTCCTATCCATGAGCATGGCAGGAATTTAGAACTCTTGTTTATACTTGTTCATAAGTGCTGTTAAGTCGGTTCCGACACATAGTAACCCAGTACAGGGTATCCACGGAGCGACGAATGAGTTTGAACCACCGACCTTGTGGCTCAAACTGACATTGGGGTCCTGTACTTATCCTACAGTGGTCACATTACTAACTTGATGTACTGGATCTTTTTCAGTTCATTCACATGTAAATGGTCATGGGGAAGTTCATTTATGAATGGAGGATGCTAAGCAGCTTTACCCTGGAGCATTTTTACTTCTTGCGTCAGGTTGGAACTCCAAATTGATGTTAGGATTGTTAAAAGTATCCCTAAAGCTTTGCCCTGAAAAACAGATTGGGCTAAGATTCAAACTTGTAGACAAGAAAAGGATGAAAGCATTTATAGTTACTGACACAGATTAATGAAGCCCTGTACTGAATATCCCTACAACGTGATGGTACTGAAACAGCTTTACTCTTTACTAATAGATGAGACCCTAATTTATCCAATCTAGTGAAAAGGCTTCATTTGAATTGGGAAAAAGCTCCTACTGGAAGACATCCTTTGTCTTTCAGCCTATGCTAGAGTGGCAAATTTACTTCATACAATTATACTGCTAGGTATTGTCATTCTGATTCAGAGCAAAATGTTTGGTTCTGATGCTATGCTTGAGTCCATTTTTACAGCACTGTGTCAATTACCTCTCTTCTTGTTCGTTGATCCTCTATTTTACCAAACATAGTGTTCTTCTCCAGGGATTGGTTCCTCCTGATAACATGTCCAAAACATGTGTTTTAAAGTCTCACTTTTTTGTAATTTCTAAGGAACATTCTGGTTGTCCTTCTTCCAAGACAGATTATATTTATTCTTCTGGCAGTCCATGATATATTCATTATTCTTAACCAGTATCAGAATTCAAAGGCATCCTCTTTTCTTTGGTCTTCCTTATTCATTGTCCAGTTTTTGCATGCATATGAGGCGACTGAAAATACCATGGCTCCGGTCAGGTACATCTGAGTGCTAAGAGTAACTAGAATCCAATAAAATGGATCTGATAAACAACTCACCCTGATGATAAGGCTCCTAGGTTAAGCAAAGCAAAGATAAAGGGCATGCAGAAGAAAGTACTCTTAAATGTGATCACTGAATTTCTTTATTCTTGATCAAAAGGGAGGAGTGGTATAAGGCATTTGACAGAACTAAGGCCTTTAGCTAAGCTGTGAACCAAACCCACTCCATTCTGTTACAAGACAGCCCATGTAGATCTTCCACTTCTGTAAAAGAAAATTTCTACAGTACCTCTGACCCAGATCTAAGTAAGCTACAGGAAAACGTGGTTTTGCCCACCTTATACTCCAACTCCAAAGCACTCAAAAACAGCAACAATAATGCCATTTACATGTGAGTTTCTGGTTAGAAATGGCCAGTGTAAAGAGAAGATTATTTAACAGGTGTTAGATATAATGTACTATCTGTAACTTTAGTGGCTAAATTAACTCTCAAAAAAATACCCTTAAATCCCCTAGAAAAATTTTTTGGGTCTAATCCCTTTTACAGTACAGACCCTCTGTGTCTATATTTTTACAGTTGTTCCAAGTTAACCAAATCCTGGCACCTAGAACCAACCTTGTAAAGGACGCCAATCCTTACAAAGGTGGTCAACCAAGACCTTGGAACCTGCAACTTAGCAGATGTTAACCAATCAAAAGCAGTCTAGCCATATACTCCCTTACTTGTGGTTTTGTTGTAAGGTGTTATGTGCCGTGGAGTCGGTTCCAACTCATAGCGACCCTGCACAGGGTTTCCGAGGCTCTAAATCTTTACGGGAACAGAAAGCCTCATCTTTCTCCCATGGAGTGGCTGGAGTTCAAATTGGTGGCCTTGCAGCTGGCAGCCCAAGGCTCTTGTATCCCATTTCGATTACTCTTCAAAGGACATAATGTTCAAAGTAGATATTCTTTACTAGTTAAGCTAAACTACTACTTGCTTTTAAGAAGACTACAGAGCATGCTTTTAGTTTAATTTTTTAAAGATTATCTCAAGACAACAGTTTGGGAGGTTCATGGTTCCAGAAACTCTGGATTCCAAAAAATTTTAATATGATGTTCTACATTTCCTCCTTTTGAAAATTAGGATTCTTTTATAGAATCTTTGGGCAAAATGCTCAGTAGTGGATCTATAGGATTTTCCGTGGTTGATTTTGCCGAAGCACATTACTAGGCTTTTCTTCCATGGCATTTCTGAATGGTCTTGAGCCACCAACCTTTTGGTTCGCAGCAGAGAGCTTTAACCATTTACACCACACAGGTACCCCAACTAAAGCACTTAAATTCCCTGCATTGTGGTGTCTTTTGGGGGTAAAATGGCATAGTTGTGAGGATTACGTGTGAATGAAGCAGTTAGCAGAGCGGCAGGCACATGGTAAGCACTCGGTACATTTTAGGTATCATTTTACTGTGAGGATTGGGTCAGGAGAGTTGGCTGGGATTAAGATTGGGTTGGGATGGATTCTCATGGGTGGTCTTGGAGTCTACAGTGGGGTGGATACAGTAGGCATGTGTGGGATTGGAAGGGTTTGGTTTGGGACAAGTGGGCTTCCTGGAAAGGAGGGCCTAGAGCACCTACCCCAGAGCCCAGCTGACTTACCTACTGTCTGACAGGAGATTTCATTCAGGTTGAAGGAACACCGATGGAGGGGCCCTGCTGACTCATTCGTCATAGGGCTGGTGACGAGGAGCCTGAGTGGAAGGGTGAACAGAAGATTTGAACTGGCTGGTAACTCCCTTCCCATGCCTGCCTCCCCAGGCACAGTCTTCCCATCCCAGACCTACAGCTCCCTGACTGCCAGGGAGGAAATCTAGGCCTGGAAAAAACAAGCAGATCCCCAGCCCAGCACTGCACACAGTGCACTATGGGAAAGGCTCAACCTCTACCTCTGCACAGCTCCAGGCAAGAAATGGTTAACTGCAACCTCTCTCTGCCTGTCTACCCACCCTGATAGAGACAGAGGCATGGGTGAGGGTGGTATTGGTGGTAAATATTCTCTACTCTCTTGGAGTTTTGCTGTGGCACTGTAGAGTAAGCCCAGAACAACTAACTGCAAGGTCGGCAGTTCAAACCCACCCTGCTCCTTGAAAACCATATAGCAGGTCACTATGAGTCTGAAATGATGCAACAGCAGTTAGCAACAACAATTCTCTTGCTCGGGTAGGTGTGGGAGAGGAAGGAAGGCACCCTGCCTGCCCCACTTGGCTTCAGTAATGGTATTTCCTCTCCTCTGGGTCCCTCAGAGCTGGAGGTCTGACAGTGGCCACCTTGGCCCGATTAAGGTAGCCTTAGGAGATGTGGTTCCCAACTGCAAACCTCTTGCTTCCCACCCTCAACCAAATTCAGGAAAACAACGGAGAGTCCAGTCAGCCTAAATATTCTCACTATCCATGCTGCCCAAAGAAGACTGGGCTGCCATGAGGCAGAGTGAACTCCCAATCCTAGGAGGTATAAGTAGGGGATGGAGGGGTTATGGATTGAAGTATGTCACCCAAAGATATGTATTGACTTCCTGGCCTTTGTACCTATGGAAATAGAGTTTTTACTTTGCTATGTTAATACGGTCATACTGGTATAGGATGGATCCTAATCACTTCCTAGTTATAAACAGACCGGAATAGATACAGACATACACAGAGGATAGAGACCATGTAAGGACTGTCCACAAGCCAAGGGCGCAGACAAGGAGGAAATCAACATGGCTAAACTCTTGGTTTGGACTTTCATACTGTAGAACTATGAGGAAACCATTTCTGTTTCTGAAGCCGTCCACTTGTGGAATTTGTTACAGCAGCACTAGGAAGTGAAGACAGTGGAGAAGGAGACCTAAGGGTTAGCTTTGGTAACAATAAACCCAGTTAAAGACATTTATGTAGAGGGAAGTAGAAGGACCTTACAAAAGTGAAGCTCATGATTAAGCTATGTTTTTCAAAGAGCATGTTGTGGTTCCCATGATTTGGAAGGCAGACTAGAGAGCACAGATTTGGGACAGGAATGAGGTCATCTTAACTTCTTTACCTCCCATCACTCTAAAAAAATTTTCAATTATGAAGGATATCATTCATTTATCTCCACGGTTGACAGAGTATCAACAAAGTCTACTCCAGTGTGTGTATGCCCCACCAAGCTTAATGCACCCCAAGCCATCTTCCACTCTTGGAAATTCTTGTGCCAGAACCAATGTCCTCATCTTTCTCCACCTCTTAGCAGCCCTGGACACAGATGACCATTTCTCCTCCTTGAAACAATGTCTTCGCCTTGATTTGCCCTCTTTGATTTATTTCCTCTCAGACTCCTTTGTAGGCTCCTTTACTGCCTGACCTCTAAATGTCACTGAATCCTGGAACTCGGTCCTCTTTCTTGTCAGCAGACTCTCCCTAGCTGTCTCCTTAATCCCATGGCTTCCATACGCCTGTAAATGCTGACAGGCTCACCTTTACAGCTAGCTCACCTTTACAGCTATGGTCCTATTGTCTTTCCATCAGATGGAGACCTTCATAGCTATTGTCAGCAGAACAATGGCCCCTCAAAGGTGCCTGTGACCTAATCCCAGAACCTGTGAATGTGTTACACCCTACATGGCAGAAGGGACTTTGCAGATGTAATTAAGGATCTTGAGATGGGAAGATTAGAAACCTTCTCACCTTCTCTAGGCAGCCCTGCCCCACAACCCAATTCCTGGGCTGTATCTTCATGTTACTTTGCTTTTTTTCCTTCTCAGAACTTGCACCCATTTGACAGTATTATGTTTACTTGTTTAGTTACTCAGTGTCTGTCTCCCCGACTAGAATGCAACTACTCCAGGGACCTTGCCTCTCTGGTTCCTCATTTTATTCCTAGGGACTTGGTAAATATTTATGGGACGACTTGAATGAAGCTCAGACACAGCTGAGGGGGTTGACATGGGACTGCAGGCAGAGGGCCTGTTGCAGACTTGACAGCTGAGCCTCCAAATTAGGTCGCCTCTTCAGCAACCCTGCCTTCCCACC